CTACCACCACCTCTGTTTCCTACTCGTAGTACTGCTACGTCTACTACCTCCACGACCGAGTATGACTATACGTTTTCACACGGATCATACGAATTAGACTTACGATTTGTCTTGTATGATTCTATTGTTTGGGGGTATTACTACCACTTCTACTACGATTATTACTACTACTACGTGTACTAGTCTTACTACTTTTACGATTACGACTACGACTACGACTTCGACCTACCTTTACTACTACTGCTGTTATTACTACCAACTACTACTATTACTACTACTACTACTACTACTACTACTACTACTACTACTACTATCCTAGTACCACCACTACTACTACTACTACTACGATTACTACTACTAATGCTACTGCTACTATTATTACAACTACTACTACTACTACTACTACTACTAATGCTACTGCTACTACTATTACTACTACTACTACTACTACGACTACTACTACTACTACTACTACTACTACTTTTACTACTGCCACTACTACTGCTACTACTACTTGTACTACGCCTCCGGATGCTACTACGACTACGACTACGTCTGTTACTACTACGACGAAGACTACTATTTTTATTACTGTTACTACTACTGCTACCACTGCTACTACGACGACGACTACTACTACGAGGATCCGATAGCGCGGGCCAGCTGTAGGATGTGCAGGGTGCGGGCCAGGACATGATCATCAGCATCAGCAGCATCATCGCCACCACCATCATCCTGATCATCATCGTCATCACCATCATCCTCTTTTCCATCATCACCATCAGCATCATCATCACCATCATTATCATCATCATCATCATCCTTAACGTCTGGTAAACTGCGATCTGCTGGGAAAGCATGTATTCTCCTCCCCTGGATCCCGAAGTTTATTTTCCCCAGGGGGTTCACATCTGGGGCAGTCGGCTAAATGGTATCCCGGAGCAGGCACGGCGAATTCGGCGAATGAGTTCGAGAATGATGAGGATCGGGAGGAGGAAGTTGACGGGGAGGATGAATAATTGGATGAAGGAGGGGAGAGAGAAGGGGAAACCAAAAGGTGCACCCAGCAGGTCTGCGAAAAAAACGGGAGGGGCGCTACGCATGGGTTGAGGGAGGAAAGGTGCAGAGAGGAGGGCCCAGAGCCTCTGAGTCGAGCCTCTGGCGGGTGACGGCTCCCCGAGGGGCCTGCGCCCCGTTGCGTGCGCCTTCACCCCGAGGGGGTTCAGGGCAGCGGGAGCCACTCCTAAGGGACGCCCCGAGAGGTTGCCCCTCGTGCCCGCCCTGGTGCACGCGCGCGGGGCAAGCACGCAGGCAGGCATTCATTCGGCGGCTCACCCGTGCACGGAGGCTGCACCCGCCGAACCGCCGTACCCCCAGAGCGCACCACGGCGGTCAGCTCCAGGGCCTGGTCCACATCCGCGGGGACCTGCCACATGGGGTCCACTTGCGGCTCGCACTCCAGCATGGCTGCCTCGCACCACGCCGCTTTGGAGGCGCAGTCCGCCAGCATGAGGTGTAGGCTCGAGGCCTGGCGAGTAGCGAAACGGTCTGGACACGTGCACAGCGAGGACCCGATGCAAGTTCGTCTTCAGGACGCGCCCGACCCGAAACCCAGAGCGAGCAAGGGCCAGCAATGCGTTCATTCAGAATTCTCATGCGCGCTGCGCCACTTTGACCAGGTCACCCCGTGGAAGGGCGACGGGAAACGGAGCACGGCGTCAGGGTGCACCACACCTCGGGCATGGTGGGGCGATAAGCAGTGCGAAGCGTCAACGCCCCCAGGGCACTCCCAGAAGCTGAGAAGGAGGAGGAGAGGGGGAGAGGAAGGGGAGGCGGAGAGGGGGAGGAGCCAAGCTAGGTGCGCTCGCGTCATATCTGACATCCTATCCCTACCTCCCATCCCCTAGCATGGCGCAGACCCCCTCTCTACTCGCACAGTCAGATGTCGAGCAGGGCAATGATTCCGAAAGGGTACGCGATGCATTGTAGAGCATGGCGTGGAAGAGCACCGCAAAGCGCAGCATCAACCTAGCATTGCATTGCACGCCGTGGCATGGCACGGGAAATGACGCCAGCGCTGCAGCGGGAGCACGAGTCGAAACGAGCGGAAGCGCGGAAATGAGGCCAGCGCTGCAGCGGGAGCACGATTCGGAACGAGCGGAAGCACGGAAATGAGGCCAGCGTTGCAGCGGTAGCACGATTCGGAACGAGCGGGGCCCGAAAATGAGGCCGGCGCCTCAGCGAGAGCAGCATTGTGGACAAAAAGCAGGCGAAAACCCAACTCCGGGGAAACCTGTGTGCAAAAAAGCAGTACGCGGGGAGGGGGGGGTCCGACACTTTCAAACCGTCATCAGGGGAAGAGGGAGAGTAGTATTCATATTGAGTAATTGTAGAGAGAGAGAGAGAGAGAGAGAGAGAGAGAGTCCGGGCCAAGCACGGACCCAGATAGCCTCGACAGCCTGGCCCGTCGTTTGCGGATCGGTTACGCCCACACACGCGGTGGCCGACACCGTTCTCTGGAGCGTCGGAAAGGGGCGAAGGGAAGGCGGGGGAAGATGATGAGCGGAGGAGAAGGAGGGAGGACGGACAGAGGAGCAGAGGGAGGAAGCGACGAGAAGGTAGGCGGCAAGACCGCCGATGCAGGGCACATCCCCTGGCCGCCCCCCCTTTCCGCCCGCTCCCAACCAGCGGCAGTTGGGGAGCAGCAGGGCGGGCCGAGTGGGCAGGGGGAGCCCTGGCTCCCGCCCCCGACCAGCGGCTGTTACGGGGCAGTGGGGCGGGCCCGAGTGGGCAGGGCAGGTGGGACCGCCCGCAAGCCAAATGCGGCAATACGGACGACTGACCCATCCGCCGGGCAGCCCCCCGCCCCCCAGCCAGCGGCGATGGCGATGCAGTGTGGCGGGCCAGAGTGGGCAGGGTAGTTGGGACGGCCCGCAAGCCCCAGGCCGTTGCAGAGGTGACAATACCGACCTTTGACCGAGCGTTTGGCGCAGGGGATGGAGGATCTGATCGGATCCACTCGGCAGGAGGGGACATCGAGAACCTCAGCGCCGTCTGGGTCCCCCTTTGTAGAGCCGCAAGGTCGGAGCATGATGCTCAAACCAAAGTTTGGCGGTACTTACATGCCGTCCTGCCCGGCGGCGAACACGAACACCTCGGCCCCGACCAACCACCCAGGCTGGGGACTCGCCAAACTTGAGACCCCGTTGTGACATTTGATTGTTCAATCGGGACCCCCACCTCCAATCCACCTGCCCCCCCAGTCATCCTAATTGGCGGTGTCGGTGGTTGCGCCCACGGGCGTCGCATTGTGCAAATCACGGGCAGAGGGGGTGAGAAATATGGCGAGTGCCCAGGTAGGAACAATCATGGTCTTGCGATGCCAACTGCAAGCATGGAAGGCCTGGGGAAGCAAGCCTTCAAAAGTCAGGCGATTGGGTGCGACGCAAGACAAGGGAGCGGGATAGAGGAACCATACGAGAAGAAAGTGCCCAGCCGTTGACGCAGGAATGACGTACGTCAAACTGTTAGCGCAGCTGTAATTGGGCAGGGCTTGGGCGACACGCGACGAGAAGACTTGCGACGAGCCCTGCAAAAGCAACAACCTGTTTCGTAAAGGGTGCCTGCTACAAGAGGCTCACAGCAAGAGAAATGGCGACTGGTACCTGTGACGTCTGCAAGGCGTTGCTAGGGGGACGATTCGGGAAAGACAGCAGGATATTCCATGGACCGTTTATCGAACCACAAGGAGCAAGAGGAGGAAACATCAGCAGGAGGAGAGGCTCCCAGAGGACGGGCGATGGAGGAGGAGGGAGGAGGAGGGAGGAGGAGCAGAGAGGAGGAGGATGAGGAGGAGGAGGAGAAAGTGGATCGTGTAAAGGGCTCTTCAGTAGAATAAGGAAAGAGGAGGAAGAAGGAGAGAGGAGCAAAGAGCATAACCCAACACAACGGCGAAGGGATACGGGAGGAGGGAAGCGTCTGAAGGGGGAGGTGTAGGGAGGAGAGGGTCCAGAAGAAGGACGCCGGAAAAAGAGGATAGTGGAAATGGGACGACGGAAACAGATATTGCAGGAAGGAAGGATGATGCGTGACAGGTGGCGCAGGGGGCAGGAAGGACGGAGGAGAAATGGGAAAACAGAGAATTGCGGTGAGGAAGGAGGGGATGGATAATCTAGAGAGGGGGGGATAGGCCAACGAAGGGGACATGGAAGGGTTGCGTAACGAAGAGCGGGTAGGTTGATTGAAGGAGAAGGAGGGGGACCAGCGTCAGGATAGCATGATGATTTTGATAATTCAAATGAGGAGGGGTATAAGCTAGGCAGCGGCAATGGGCATCTCGATTAATGGAAGGGGAGGAGCAGTGGGGAGGACCATGAGGATTTGCGAAGAGTTCTCGGAAGGCGAGGGATGGGAGGAGGAGGAGGAGGAGGAGAAGGAGGAGTAGGAGGAGGAGGAGGAATGGATTTCGAGGCATTGGAGGAAGAGCCGGAGGATAAGGATGTAGATTCGTCGCTCTGCTTCTCGCAGTTGTCCCTATCTCGCCCGGTCATCTGATTCTCCCTGGAAAGAAGAGGAGGATTGCGATTAGGAAGGAGGGGAGACGAAGTAGGAGAAGGAGGAGGTGGATCGGATTGGATCGGGACTCCGCAACAGGGCTTCACTAGAGGCCACTGCCGCAATCAACTCTCGCGATCGAAAAGGAGCGCGTGGGAAGCATGAAGACATGCCGAGTACAGGAAGCACAGCTAACACTACAAAGGGCTCTGAACGCTCTGACTGACCAGGCGTACCAGTTTGTCAAGTACCCATCTCCGACACGTCGTGTTTGAACAGGGGCATCATGAAGAGGGGGGGTATTTGACATCCTGGCCTGGGGCAGCTGAGTAGAAACCTCCAAACCTCATCTACATCAGGAGGAGGAAGAGGAGACGGAGGAGGAGGATGATGGTCACGATGAGGAAGAAGCGACGAGGAGTGAGGTGAAGGAGCGCCCTCTGCAGGCATTCGGCTTCGACCGGGGCACGCGGAACCGGACCGCGGGGATTGGCAAGGGCTCTTTTCGTCCGCGCGACGGCTGTCAGCAAAAGCCCGATGTGCAAACGATCAAGAATGAGATCTCTTCTGAGGGGCATGGGACCAACGCGCAGTCAGGCAGGCACTGGCCAGGGCAGAGGGCAGCCCAGACCTATGACAATGAAAGGCTTGAGCGGCATTGCGGTGTCTTCGGGGTGGTGAAAGGAGGGTTGGAGAGGGCGGCGCCGCGCCTTTGCACTTGCTGTTGCCGCCGGCAGCTCTCAAGAGGGGAATATGGACACAGGCACAAACAAACGTCGATTTCCATCAACATGTTTGAGCATAATCATCTGGAATTTCAGGAGTTGTGTCTGGCTATTTGTGTGTGTCCCCAGGCCTCTCAATTCCGTCCCCCCTTCCCTCCGCGACCCGCCCGTCCTGCGAACGAGTGAGGGGCCCAGGCGCAGCCGACCGCACACGGACCGCCCGCCGCCACCGGCGACCAACTAGGCGACGAGCGACGATCCTCCCAGCGACCATTCCACCGACCTAGCCCGCCACTCACCCTCAGCCACGCGCAGAGAGGGATCGGGGAGGGGGAGGGCTTCTTAGAAGCACCCCTGCTTCTTAGAAGGCGCGGGCCTTATCTATTAGCTAGATGCGAGGCGTGCGCCTTCCAAGAAGCATCCGCCTTCTAAGAAACCTTATCAGCAGTCTCCACTCCCTTGAGCGCGCCGCCAACACACGGCGACCCACCCTGGCCATCTGCCCCGCGATCTGGAGTCTCTCACGAAATCCCGTCGCTCTTTCACAGGTTGCACCACGCAGCGAGGGGTCTTGGATGATACGCTGTGGACTCTGCAGGGACCGCGTCAGAGTGCCTGCGCCACCTCGAGGTTGAACGTGCCTTATGCCATGGGTACCGTCTGCGCGATCTTCAGGAGAAGGGGGATATCACACAGCGTGCGGACGTTTTGGGGCGGCATGTCAATCCCAGGCCCCCGCTTCCAGCAGGGTGGCTGGCGCTCCTGTCTCCTATCCCATTCCAGTGGTCATCCCCGCGCCCCCCATCTGCACCTCGTGTTCGCGCTCATCCGCTGGCTCCTCACCGCCTTCCATCTGTCCTCCCCTTTCATGCCCGAGCCTAGACGCAGGAGCGCAATCGAAACGGATATGTGATTTGCCCGCGCCCGGGAGCCTTGGGTGGGGGCGGGGGCAGGGGGCGCCCAGGGGCCTGAGACTTCTTGTGGGTGGCTTTGGCTTCCCGATCTCCCCCTTGCCCCCCGTGAGTGAGTCCTCCGATCTGTTCCACGTCCCCTGGTTCCATTCTGCCCCTGCTCGCCGTGCCCCCCTGACTCTCTCTGGCTTTCCGTCTTCGCTAGCGCCTCGTGTTTCCTCAATGTTCCAGGGAAGAGGCAGCGCAACTTATGCGGCATTCCAATCTGCCCCCCTCGAGGAAGCTCTTCCAAGACATGCTGGGCGGCGCACACGTGGCGTGCGCCACGTGCATCGGAGTGGGCAGCTGAAGTGCTGCATAGAACGCCGGAACGTCAAGGAGTCAAGGACAGAACGAGGAGAGGAGCCACGAGGAGGCCAGGCCAGGTGAGGTCAAGGGTAGCCCATAGGGGATGTGAGCTCGAATATGGTCTTTGACAGCACGTGGCCTAAAAGTGGGAGAATCGACGACGGACGCGGATACAGAGGAAGGGGAGGAGAAGGTATACAGTGGAGGAGGAGTCGTTGGAAGGAGCGCGTCACTGAAGGTTTGATGGAAAGAAGCAGGCACATCACTGGGCAGGCGAGCCAGAGAGCTGGATGAATTTGTCATCGCCAAGGATGTTTCGCCCACAACGTGTCCTTCGTGTCATGATGCACAGATGATGTCGCCACTTGATAGAGGTATCTTGTCTAAGTGATATTGGTTTGGGATTAAACTTATGCACGTGCATTGCGAAAAGTCAGGCTTGAACAGCAGCAGTGGCTGCAGCGGTGGCGGTGCCAAGCACGGAGATTATTTAGGACAAGCGCCACAATCAATCGCGTCATACACGGTGCCAGTAGTAGTCGCCGTCGTAGATTGCGGCGCCAATTGTTTTGACGGCTTCTGCGAGTTTTCAAACAGCGGCCGCAGCATCGCTTTGTTGCCGTCTTGATTCAAAGAGTTGCAGTGCCAGGAGGGGGGGAGGGGCCAGGCGGAGTTGGGCATGGACAGACACGGAGTAAACATGTAGCGATGTGCCGAGGCATGCACAGATGCTGGCCATACTTGTTTCCCTCCCCCTTCGTTGGTCATAATCACACCGGCAGCATTGCGGCGCCTCCTCCTCGCCCCCTCCTCTGTTCCCCATTTCTCTCTCAGTGAGGGTTTCGTGCGAGGCGCTCATGGCGGCGTGCGCAGGGTCTCGCGCGGGCCTGGCCGCGCTGGCGGTGTCTTCGGCTCATGCGTTCTACTTGCCCGGCGTTGCCCCGATCGAGTACCAGGATTCGGCACGATCGGAATGGGTACGTACCAAGTTCAACACCAGTTCCTGTTGATTCTGAACATGGTTCGCTGTCGGTGCCGCCGCGGGCGTTGTTCATTTGAGACAGAAGGCCGCCTGCCCAACAGCGGCCGCTGTCGATTGTGGGCAACATCTGTTGTTTGGGAATCGCCTCATTTCTGTTCGTACGCATTCGGGGCGTCCAAGTTTGACGTCGGGGCGAATAATTGCTCCAGTGTGTGTCAGTCCCCGCCGTGTCGTCGTTCAACCCTGGAGCTTTTCTTCCCCAACTAGTTCACGCATTGAGGCGTTCTTGGTTTGCTTGCTTTTCCTTTTCGGGCTTTCGGCTGGTGCCCGCCCGTGGGCGCCCCGCGCTTGGGGGGAGTATGCCGAGGCTTTGCCTGGCGCCCATCTGTGGCCGCCCCGTGGGCGCCCCGCGCTTGGGGGGAGTATGCCGAGGCTTTGCCTGGCGCCCGCCCGCGGGCGCTTCGTGGGCGCCCCGATAGCCTGCACCATGCAGACTGGGCCTGGGCCGCCCCCATGGGGGAATGAGCCCAGGCTCGGTCCCCCATGGCGGTCTCGGGGCCCCAGAAGATTTCCTCCCCGCTCCAATACGACATGGATGCCCTCCAAGACGGCCAAGATAGATGGCTCAAGATGGCCTCAGAGATGCCTCCAACACCACCAAGAAGCACCCAAGACGCCCCAAGAGGCTCCCCCGAGGCCTCCCAAGAGGACCCCAGAAGGCACACATGGCCCCATATCCCCTCGAAAACATACGTATATTTGTTCAACATTCGCCTCTTGGGCTTTCACAGCGTCGGGGGGGCAGGCCCGTGGCTCATGAATTGGGACTTGACCCTCCGTGGTGGAATCCGAGGGGCCCAGAGGCCCCGAGACCGCTCCCAGACTGGTTCCAAACACGCTCCAGCCCGGGAAAACAGCCCCAGAGAGCTTCCGGACGCCCCATATGGCCCCAAGACAGCCTTAAGACCTTCAAGATCGCCCAAGAGGGCTTCCATTCCTTTCAGAAAACGTGCATTCTAATATGCACTACTTTTCAGCTTTCCGACGCTCCACGGCGGCCCAAGAAGCCCCCCAGACCGCCCCAAGATGCTCCAAGAGGCCCCCAAGAGGCCGCCCAGACGGCCCAAGAGGGCCCAGGAGATCCCCAAGACGGCCCCGAAGAGGGCCAGCAGGCCCCCAGCCCCGAGGCGCCCTCAGGACGCCTCCCAAAGCCCCGGGGGTACCAAAATCGGCTCCTCAGGCTGGCATGGAGGGCCCGGCGCGCCTCGCTCCAAAAGAGCTCTCCGAGGGGCCCAGAGGGCATCAAAAGGGGCCCTCAAGGGGGCCAGAACTCCCAGCACGTCGAACATTGCTTTGGAACGGCTTACGTGTCCTCCACGACGCCCCAGGAGAGCTTCAAGCTGATCCCTGAGAGAGGCTCCAGGGGCGAAACATCATTGATTTCCCCACGGTTTCTCAAGGATTTTCGTGTGCTCGCCTGCTCCGTTGCCCGACGCCTGGAGACGGCACAAGAGGCGCCCAAGAGGGTCCCAACAAGAACCCGAGGAGAGCGCAAAGACTGTCGAAAAGGCGTTCAAAGGCTCCAGGCACGAAAGTCATTGATTTCCTTTTTTGGTGTTGCAAGGATTTTCGTGTGGTCGCCCGTTCGCTGCCCGACGCCTGGGGACCGCAGAAAAGGCGCCCAATAGGGTCTTAAGACACCTCAAGAGGGCGCCAAGACGGCCCAAGAGGCGCCCAGAGTTGCCCCAGAGGGCTCCAATCGGCGCCAAAAAATGAGCTCGGACACGCAACAGGGACCCTAAGCGAGACCCTCAGGGCTCCAAAACAGCCCAGCACGCCCATCACTGCTCCGATGCGGGCTCGGGGAGCCTCCGAGGCGCACCAGGAGGGCTTCAGGCTCATTCCCGAGACAGGCTCCAGGGGCTAAAATTGCTCCTCTCCCGTATTTTTGCTCAAATGGTTTTCGTGTGATCGCCTGCTCCGCTGCCCGACGCGCGGACAGCACAAGAGGCGCCCAACAGGGCTCCAAGACACCCCACGCGGGCACCAAGACGGCCCACGACGCGCGCAGACTCGCCCAAGCGGGCTCAAGGTGGCTTCCCAACTGAGCCTAAACACGCCACAGGGGTGGCCACGGAAACAGAGCTCCCAAATTGCTCCAGCATGCCCACCATCGCTCCGATGCGGCCCAAGATGGCTCTAAACTGTTGTCCGAAACAGCCCCGATAGGCAACGCCATTGCTTCCTCGATTTTGCATTCCTTTTCGCGTGGTCGCCCGCTCCGCTTCCCGACGCTCGGAGACGGCACGCGAGGCATGCACGAGGGCCCCGAGGCGGCGCCAAGACGGCCCAAGAGGCGCCCAAGAGCGCCTGGACGCGCTGCAGGCGGCTCTCCAAGTGAGCCTGGACACGCCAAGAGGACCGTAAAGAAGGCCCGCAGGGTTCCCAAACGGCCCCACAGTGTCCAGCAAAAGGCTCACAGAAGCCTCCACGAGAGTTCCCGCCCGATGCGCGGTTCCCGGAGAGCCTTCGGGGAACCTGACAGCGCGCCCGTCATCGGAGCAGCATTTTCTTGTGCTGCATTTTCGCGGCGGCCTTGGCTTCTTTCGGCGGCCTTGTATTTTTTCGGCGGGTTTCGTTTTTGTTGTTTTGTTCTACGGGTTTCGATGTGTTCTGCGGCTTTGGCTTTTTTCGGCGGCCTGGCATTTGTTCGGCGGGTTTCCGATTTTGTTTTTCTACTGGTTTCGGATTGTTCGGCGGCCTTGGCTTTTTTCGGTGGCCTTGCGTTATCAATGCTGGTTTCGCATTTGTTCAGCGGGTTTCGCATTTGTTCGGCGGCCTTGGTTTTTGCTCGGCGGCCTTGCCTTTTTGTTCGGCGGGGTTCGCATTTGTTTCTGCGGGTTTCGCATTTGTTCTGCAGCCTTGGCTTTTTGTCGGCGGCCTTGCTTTTGTTCGGCAGGTTTCGCATGTTTCAGCGGGTTTCGCATATGTTCGGTGGCATTAGCTTTTTGTCGGCGGCCTTGCCTTTTTTCTCTGATGGTTTCACATGTGTTCAGTGGCCTTCGCTTTTTACGGCGGCCTTGCCTTTTTTCGGTGGGTTTCGAATTTTTATGTTGCAAGTATCGCAATTTTTCGGCTGCTTTGGCTTGTTTCGGCGGCATTGCCTTTTGTTCTGCGGGTTCTGCATTTTCCTGGCGAGCGTCGCATTTTCTCGGCTGCCTTAGCTTTTTCGGCGGCCTTGTGTTTTTTTTGTTCCGCGGGTTTCTCATTTGTTCGGCGGGTTTCGCATCTTTCCAGCGGCCTTGGCTCCTTTCGGCGACCTTGCCTTTCTTTCTGCGGGTTCAGCAGTTGTTGGGCGGGTTTCGCATTCGTTTCGGCGGCCTTGGCTTTTGCGGCCTTGCCTTTTTTTTTGGCGGGTGTTGCATTGTCCCGGCGGGGTTCGCGTTGTTTCGGCTGCCTTGGTGTTTTTCTGCCACCCTTTTCTTTGTTTCTCCTGCGGGTTTCGCATTTGTCCGCGGTTTTGTTGTTTTTCGGTGGCCTTGCCTTTTTCGTCGGGTTTCACATGTTTCGGCGGGTTTCGCGGTTTTCGCATTGTTTGGCGGGTTTCGCATGTTGTTCGGTGGCTTTGGTTTTGTTTCGGCGGCATTGCATTTGTTCTGCGGGTTTCGCATTGTTTGTTCGGCGGCCTTGGCTTTTTTCTGCGGCCTTGCCTTTTCTCGGCAGGTTTTGCATTTGTTCTGCGGGTTTTCTTTTTTTCGGTTGCCGTGGCTTCTTTCGGCGGCCTTGATTTTTTCCGGCTGGGTTCGCATTTGCTCGGCGGGTTTCGCATTTTCTCGGCGGCCGTGGTTTGTTTCAGCGGCCTTGCCTTTTTGGGGGCGGGTGTTGTTTTTTGTTCCCAGCGGATTTCGCATTTTTTCGGTGGCCTTGGCTTTTTCCAGCGGCCGTGTCTTTTTTGGAGCGAGTTTCGTATGTGTTCTTTGCGGGTTTCGCTTTTCCTCGGTGGTTTTGTTTTGTTTTTCGGCGGCCTTGCCTTTTGTTCGGCGACTTTCTCTTTTAGTCGGCGGGTTTCGCTTTCTTCGGCGGTCTTGTTTTTTTGTTCGGTGGCCTCGGCTTTTATGTTTTTTTGTTGGCGGGCTTCGCATTTGTTTGGGTTTTTGTTCGGCAGCCTTCGCTTTTGTCGGCGTCTGTTTTTTGTCGGCGGGTTCTGCTTCTTTCGGCGGCCTTCGTTTTTTTTGTCGGCCCAGCAACCTTCAAAAAGAGGCAACGGTTTCGCATACCGCAGCCCCCCAGGGATGGCGCGGTCACTTAGGACGGCGAGGCAGGAGGCAGGTTGGCAGACAGGACGGAGCGAGGTGATAGGCTGGAGGAATGAGCGGAGGACGGACGCGGGACGGCGGGAGACGCGCGGGCAGCGTTGTATCCATAACGACAAGCCAACGCAGGCAAAAGTTGGGAACACACATGTTCATTGTCTGCAATGGTACAGCCCGTGCCGGTAGTGGAGGACCCACTTTGAACGGCCTCAGCTCCCGTAGGTGTCTGATTGTTGGCGGAGCGCGTTCAGGCCCGCTCGTCGGCGTCGGCGCAGGTTGCGCAGGCGCCAGAAAGGCCGCCACGTGTGACATCCGCGAAGGAAACTCGTTCTTCCTAAGAGGAAAAAGGTGCCCATGCCCATACTTTTCCTTTGTTTTCAACTTGGGTTTCCTGGGAGGCCCTCGTCGCCACCGTTGGATTCGCTTCGAAATTTTGGTCAGAACGCACCCCGCGACAGATGCGCCTAATTTTCAGAGACCTACGAACAGTCTACATGCATTGTATATTAGACAGGAGAATCGAGTCTGGGGTACATCAATTTTGTAGGCGATCTCCTACTCGAGAAAATATCGTTCTGGGGGTAAGTTCGCGTGGGTGCAACCTTCCACTGTCAGAGAAGCCCCTTGCGCGCACGGTGTGCAGGTTGCCCGTGGGACAGAAGGATGCCCCCGCAGCGCTTCAAACTGTGGGCTGAATCAGTGACAGCGTCAGGAGGCGACGCTGCGCGCGCGAGGCCCGACCCCGTTTGGGGACCCCTTGCTCGCATCAGAAGATCCAAGTCCCCGTGGGCATCGAAGCCGCTCGTACTTTGAGTCTCGGGCCTTGGGCTGTGCGAGGCGAGCCCTGGAGGGCCTCGGGATCGTCGCCGCGATTAGGAAATGGAGATGGGAGAGAACAGGGGGCATGAGGAGGCAGGCCGGGCGAGCAAGGGGAGGGGGGGATACAAGAGGGTCCGGGGAAGAGGAGCGTCGCCACAGACCAGGAAGTATTCTTCAGCCCTTTACTGAGGACTCGTCTTCGGCAGGGCCGAAGTCGGAGTAACGGGCCGAGGGCAGATTCCTTTCGCTTTGCAGGATGCGCGTCGGGAGTAAAGTCTGGACGTTGCGACCGCATTCTATGCGAGTAGGAGGAGGAGGAGACTTTTTGAAGTTTTCATTGGTTCAGTTGCTTGGCTTCTTCGGGGCCTCTTGGAGGACTGAGTGGGGGGGCTCTTGGGAGCCTTTCGAGGTTTTCTGTGGGCCTGTTGCAGGCCACTTTGGGGCCCACGGAAGATCAGGGGTGGGCAAAGCGACGCACACATACAAATGACATTTTATGTGTGTACCTTTCACCTGTAACGAACAGGAACGAGCGCCCGCCAACGGACGCGGCCTGCCTCCGGCAACACGCCACGACGTGGCTTCCGATGCTCTACGCCACATCCACCGACCTTTTTGTGGGTATTGGATGCTTCTCTTCTGGAGTGCGCTGCCGTAGGAGCTTCTTTGTGCTGCGCGGCCACGTGGGAAGCCCACAACCGCGCTCAGAGGGATCTCGATTGGGCGGTGTCTTGTTGGCCTCTTGGGGCATCTCGGGGTCTGGAGGTGGCCTGTTGGAGACTCATTGGGCCGTCGTGGCGCATCCTCCTGGCACCACTTGCCCACCCCCTCTCCCCTCCAGACAGGCCGGACCTGCCTCCGGGTGGAGGGGTCTGCGGAGTGGCAGCAGTCTCACACGACGAGTAGACCCGAAAGATTCGGCGTATCCTAATGCATTGGGGGTGGCTTGGAGGGCAAAGTGGATAGAATAGCAGTGAGATGTATGTTTGTGGTCGCTCTTGAGACAAATCATGGCACACCTCATGCAATGTCTGTGCTACTGCCATTGAGGAGGGCGGCGCCGTCGACCTCAAAGTGAACAAGCTCACATCTGTGAAGACGCAGCTGCCATATGGCTACTATGTACTGCCGTACTGCAAGCCGCAGGCTATCCAGGACAGCGTGGAGAATCTAGGGGAGATCTTGACGGGAGACTTGATCGAGAATTCGCCGTACAGTATCAGAATGTTGGTGGATGCAAGCTGCAAAGTGTTGTGCAAGCAGACGCTCGGGGATCTTCAGAAGGAGAAGTTTCGCAGCATGATCGACGACGAATACTTAGTCAATTGGATCGTCGACAACTTGCCTGCAGCCACGAGGTACATTCGTAGAAGTGATGGGCAGGATTCGAAGGCTTGCAGCCTCCCGCTGGCATCCCCTCAAGGCTCGACTACGTCGCACAACTGCGCCCTTGAACCCCCTGGAACCCTGCACTCGAAGACACAGAAACGATTGCGAATTGGCAGTTCCACCATTACATGTAAACCGCAACGCTGGGTTTGATGGTTCCGAACGTACAGGAAACTTTGCCGGTGACGCCAATTCTTGCACACGCTCGAAAAAAGTCCTGCACTTACGAAAGATTACGTGAATATGCCACGGGTGTTCGCTGCATGCGGGCCCTCATCGAAATCGGCTCAACCGTGTGAAAGGGAAGCTCCACAAAGTAGTGTCTACCAGCCTGGCCACCAGGGGGGCAGCGGGTTTTATGTACATGAATGGGTGGCCTGTCGGGGTCGAACGGCAGGGTCAGTATTTCGTTCACAATCACGTCCGGCTCGACCTGAAATACCACGCCAGCCCGTACGAGTATGAAGGATATAGAATCGTGGGTTTCGAGGTCGAGCCACATAGTATAAGCCAGGTCACGAAGGACGACGCCAGTGAAGCCAGCGGGTACAGCGCAACATGCGATGCGGTAGGGCGAGATGGCGCCACGTTGTTCGACCTTGACAAAAATAGCGAGATCTTCTACACATACGACGTGCGATGGGAGGAAAGCGAACATCGCTGGGCGTCGAGATGGGATAATTATCTGAAGATGACAGGCGGCCAGATCCATTGGTTTTCAATTTTGAACTCGCTCATGATCATGCTGTTCCTGTCTGGCATGATCGCGATGATCCTCCTGCGCACACTGTACCGGGACATCACGAAGTACAACGAGCTGGCGACCGCCGAGGAGGCCGCGGAGGAGACAGGCTGGAAGCTGGTACACGGGGATGTGTTCCGGAAGCCGAAGTGTGCCAAGCTGCTGGCTGTCTCTGTCGGCTCCGGAGTCCAGGCCGCAGAAGACCTTGCTCTCTCAATAGGGGTGCGGCCATGGTTCGTGGCCGCCAGTGCAACGATCGGTCTGGGTCGGGGCGACCAGTCGTGATCTTGATTGGCAGAACGTTCCGCGCTTTGGCATGGACCAGGCTGGACCAAGAGCCGGTTCGGGACGTGGACCATTTGGGACCACTAAGGTCCAGATACTAGGCCGGGGAATGTAACACACCGACCCCTCCCCCTTCTAGCGCAGCTGCCTGTGACAAACCCCACCACTGCGTCAGCGCTCAATAATTATGAAAACAGGTTTGTGTTACCGTGTCACTATCTTGGGCCAGTCTTGCAACGAGTCGTGCTATCTTTTACGTCCTAACCTTGCCTTGCGCCGTGCGAGGATCGTCATGCATGCATGCGTCTTGGGTTTACCATTGACCGTCTTGGCGTGGTTTTCACCAGTCTTGTGATCGTCTCGGGGCTGCTTGGGGCCTTCTGCATGTCAGAGATAAGTAAAGGGTGATTGGAAGGCAGCGTTGCTTTTTTGCCCCAACACTATACGGTTTACAATGTCTCTCCATACCATTTCTTCTGACGCTCAAGCCTCATCCTCCGTCTTGCCTTCCGTCTCCTCCGCCGTCATCTCCGTCTCGTTTTCCATCTACCGTTCCCTGCCTTCCGCTCCCTCTTTTTACTTCGTCATGCCTGGTCTTTGTCGTCCTGCTCCGACCTCCTCTGTTGCCCTCCGTTGTCCTCCGCCTCCACTTCGTCCGACTTCTTCGTCCTCCGCCACCTCGTCCGCCTCCTCCGCTCTCCGCGGAGGAGCAGCGGGAGGAGGGGGAGGAAGAGGAGGAGAGGGAGGAGGAGGAGGAGGGGGAGGAGGAGGAGGAGGAGGAGGAGGAGGAGGAGGGCGAGTGGGAGGGGGGGGAGGGGGAGATGGGGAGATGTGGAGATGGGGAGACTGGGAGATAGGGGAGATGGGGAGATGGGGAGATGAGGAGATGGAGGGGGAGGGCCCCGAAGAGAATTAGGAGCATTTCCTGCCGGGCGGCATGCATTCGCAGTTGCCCGTGGCCCGCGTCGGCCGCGGGGCCGCCCAGCGCCCCACCCCCGGCAGGCATGTCGGTGGTCACGCTGATCTTCGCGTTGCTCGGTCTGCTGTCCCCCGCACATCGCGGCGGGCTGCTGCAGAGCATGATGCTGCTATTCACCGTCATGGGCGTGTTCGCGGGCCGCGCCTGGGTGCAAAATCGGGACGATCGAAAGAGGTACGGGCGACACATTTGGTTACGAAGACCGGCAGAATTTCCTGTTCATTTTGAACATGATTCGTTGTCGGTGTCGCCGCGGACATCGTCCATTCAAGACAGAAGGCCGCCCGCCCAACAGTGGCCGCTCTCGGTTTTTGGACAACATTTGGTGTCGGGGGTGCCATTTGGCTGCAGACATCCTCTACATGTCGACCCCACCGCCAGTGTCCAACAGTTGGTAGATTTTACATTTAGTTTGTTTGCGAGGGTGGGACCCTTCTATGTGGTGAACAAACCGTCCTTACGCCCGCCGCGTTCCTTGGGCTGATCCACCGGTCGCCATTCGGCTACGAGACGGCAGATGGTGGAGCCAGCGGCTGGAGCTCGACGAGGGCTTGGAACTCTCATCGCCAGCTCCTGGATCGGCGTCTCGTGCACCGAGCTGCGGGCCTTGGACAGACACAGCGCCGAACGAAGGCTGGACTTCTGAGCCTCCTGGCCAGAGGTTGTCAGTGCCCTCCAGTCGGAGGCCAGACCGTCCACTATGGAGGTTTCGGCCCCTTTCCGAACTTCTCGTCCTCACTGAAACGTCATATTGATCCCGGCTGGGTTTCCCCTCCGAATCTCAGGTTGCCGAGCCTTCCTTCCTCCACAAATCTGCCCAGAATTAGTGACGCCATTGGCCTCCCGAGGATCTCTTAAGCGAGACAATGTTGGGGGTTGTCATGGCATCGCTTGTAACAAATCTCCAGGCTATGCCGCGTCCCGCCTGTACAAGGTGATCGGGGGAGACGACTGGAAGGCCATGACGATGCTGTTGGCGCTACTTTATCCTGGAATCGTATTCATTGTCTTTTTCGTTCTCAATCTTTTCATCTGGGGGCAGAAGTCGTCAGGGGCGGTTCCTTTCTCCACTATGTTTACCCTGCTGGTGTTGTGGTTCGGCATTTCCGTGCCGCTAGTGTTCCTTGGATCCTACTTCGGTTTCCGGAGGGCCGCCATCGAGTTGCCCGTCCGCACCAATCAGGTTGCGAGGGAGATCCCAGCGCAGCCTTGGTTCATCAGGCCTGCATTCACGTACCTTGTCGGCGGCGTGTTGCCATTCGGGGCGGTATTCACTGAGCTGTTCTTCATCATGTCGTCCCTCTGGCAGCATCAGTTCCATGAGAGCCAAGTCTACCAGCAAGCTAAATTTCCAGGAAGCTTTAGACAATGCTGCCGTCATGAGCCAACTAGTAGGCAGCTCCTCATGAAGCGCCTGCCTGGAATGTCAGCTTCCTGGCAGATTTGTCTTTCAGGTTCTACTACCTTTTCGGCTTCCTTGCACTGGTACTTGTGATCCTCGTGGTGACCTGCGCGGAGATATCGATCGCACTGACTTACTTCCAATTGACGGCCGAGAACTACCATTGGTGGTGGAGGTCGAGGAGGAGACAGAGGAGGAGGAGGAGAAGGAGGAGGACGAGGAGGAGGATGACATTCACCTTTGGTAGTGAAGGTCGTTTCTTACGAGTGGTGCAGCTGCCGGGTACGTATTCGGGTATTCAATCCTCTATTTCGTTTCCAGGCTGAAGATCGATAAAGTAGTTTCTACCATATTGTATTTCGGTTATATGTGGATCGTGTGTATATTGTTCTTCTTGCTCACAGGCTCCATCGGATTGATTTCGTCTTTTTACTTCGTGAGAATCATCTACGGCTCTATCAAGGTCGACTAAATGTGTGCGGCCCGGACCCTCTGAGCAGTTGGCAGTTTGGGTCGCTCGAAAGTGCAGTGCTGGCCCTAGGCTTGCGAGCCACTCGTGGCGCGTAGCCTCTCTCAGTACAGGCGCCATCTGTCGCTCGGTTTGCTTGGTGGTCGTCCGTTCCACACAGGGGCGACAGTCGCACTGTGGTGGCAGATGGCCAGCCAGGTCACTTATCCCCTTGTGCATGCATGGGGCTGTCCGTGCAAGGCTCGCTCAGCGGTTCTCTCAGATGTTGCCAGACCGTTGGCATGGCTCTCTTGGGCGTTCTGCTTCCGATCCGTGTCCTTGTTGCGCTGACTTGTTTTCCATCCTGGGACGCGTGTCATAGCGGACCTTGTGTGGACCCTCCCCCAAGAAAACACATCGTGCCAAAGGAGTGGAGTTGCGTACATAGGAGGAGGGGGAGGTGGTGGACGGGCAGGAGGATATTCAGGATGATTGAAGGATGAGGAAGGAGGAGGGCGAGGACAAACCACAGCAGCAGAAATTGGGGTGGAAGGGGCGGGGTGAGCAGGAGGAGCAGTACAAGGAGGGGAAAGAAGGCGGGCGACAACGCCGATGCAACATTCGGATCCTGAAAGCTGACCCGCGCTGGGGCGAGAGTACCATTCTGAACGGCGGGAGCAAAGCGCCGATCCCAAAATGAGGCCCACGATGCAGCGAGAACAACATTTCGGGTAACCGAAAACAGTCGGACTGGACAAGCACATAAGACGTAACAGTTTTTCGAAATCAGATGGATCAACCAATATCGAGGACGCCTACGGCGAATCACCGCCGCCCTGCACTTTGGAATCGCCCCCTGTTGGCCGAACGTTGTGGCATGAGCTTTGCCAAGCTATCGGGCCATGCGTTCCCCCAGCCGATGTGGGAACCCGTTAGGGAACACTTGGGGGAGGATGGCGCGGAAGATAAGGAGGAGGAGGAAGAGGAGGAGGAGGAGGAGAAGGGTGCATCGTGGAAGCCTCTGCGGCACTTGGGGCCTCCTGGGAGCTTCCAGGGAGCCTCCTGGAGCTATCTTTGGGGCCTCCTTGGGCCTCTTGGGGGCCCCTGGGGGCTTCCTGGGAGCCTCTTTGGCAGTCTTAGGGTATTCCTGGCCCGTCTGACGCCGTCGGCAGCTGTCCTTGGGGTCTGTCTGGGCCGATTTGTGGCCATCTTGGGGTGTTCCAGGGCCGTCTTGGGGCCTTCTTCGGCGTCTTCGAGGCCTCTTGGGCCGTCTTGGGGCGTCTTCTTGGTGCCATCGTGGGGGCCTTTTGGGCCGTTCTGAGGCCATAGGCCTCTTGGGGCAGTCTTGGGGGCGTCTTGGCCCATTCTGGGGCCATCTTGGAGGCCTCTTGGGCGATTTTGGGGCGATCTTTGGGGGCTCGTGGGCCGTCTCGGGCCGTCGGAAGACCGAAAACTAGCACATGACAAAATCATGCAAGTCCATTATGCTCTCTTCGGGCCCTCCTGGAGGACGTCTTGGAGGCCTCCTGGCAATTTTGGAGGCCTCTTGGGCCCTCTTGGGCCGTTTTGGAGGCTTCTTGGGTAGAGTTGAAGGCGTCCTTCACCCTCTTGAGCCGTCTTGGAGTCCATCGTGGATTATCTTAGGCGAACTTAAAAGCTATCTCGGGCCCTTGGATGTCTTTCGAAACGGTCAGGGCGTTTTTCCCCGTTCTGACTTCGGATGTTTTATCCGTAAGGGCTTCGCCCCCTGCCGCCGGCCCCCTCTCTCGGAGAATGGGCCATGGAAGAGCTAAGTCATGAGGCTTTGGCGCTGTCGCGCAGCAGTATCGGAACTTCATGCGAGGCCGATTCGCAATCGGCAAAACCAACTGATCACAAGAGGGGTTACCACACAGGGCGATTGGTAAGACATGTATGGTTTACGAGCTTGGTTACCACACCTTGGGATTAAAGGGCCGAGGGAGTACTCGCAGTTTGGGTTACCACGCCTTGCGATTGATGTCCGTGAGGGGTGGCACCGAATTTCAGAAACGTGGCAAATCCCCTATGTTTTTGGACCCTGACCCCGCGGATCTGCGTGAGGGGTGGCACCGAATTTCAGAAATGTGGCAAATCCCCTGTGTTTTTGGACCCTGACCCCGCGGATCTGCGTGAGGGGTGGCACCGAATTTCAGAAATGTGGCAAATCCCTGTGTTTTTGGACCCTGACCCCGCGGATCTGCGTGAGGGGTGGCACCGAATTTCAGAAATGTGGCAAATCCCTGTGTTTTTGGACCCTGACCCCGCGGATCTGCGTGAGGGGTGTCGATTTCGAGCCCCCCCAGCAATTCAGACAACGCGCCCAGGGGGTGCTAAAAAATGGGCCTCCCCCCCCTCGCGCGGTCAATCAACTAGTTACAGTAACCAGCAAGAAGCAGAACTGTAACACTGGAAACTACAAGCTACAACTGGTACTGGAAACTGCGAACCCGCGCCTACAGCCTGGTGGCCCCACAAGGGGGCCGGCGGACATCCGTTGTCGGTTCCGTTTCATTTCCGCTTCCGTGAGAATCAAGAAAGTTGTTGTTCAGTTTCCGTTGCCGTTTTCTTGCAGGTTTTGTTCCGTTTTCGGCGTGCCTTTTTTTCCGTGTTCGTCTCTCCCAAAATTGCGTCGCGCAGGCGACCGGCGACCGATAGGCCTCTCACATCTTTCAGTCGCTCTCGGAGGAGGCGCCCGGGGCGGAAGAGGCGCGACCGTCTTCGAGGGGCAAACTCTTTGATGGCCGTCCTGGTCACGCTCTGTTTGGTGTGCGCCGCCATCCCGAGCCCACGGGCCCTGCGCACCCTTGACTGAGACGGCTAAGTCAGCCGTTCTTTTTCCGTTTTCAGCTCCCCTTGGCTCCCCCGCCCCCCCCCCCGCTTGTTCGTTTTTTTTTGTTGTTAGATATACATGTGTATATATATATATACATATGTATGGTATATGTATACGTATGTATTACAGTTTCCAATACGTTTCGGGTACGTTTTCAGCTCACGTGCAACCCGGCCCCCCAGCTCCCCTCTGCTGCGCCTCCTGCCCTCTACGCGGCCGTCTCGTCTAAGGGTGTCTGCCAGCCGGGCCCGCGGGCTCGGGATGGCGGCGCACACCAAGCAAAGCGTGACCAGGACGGCCATCAAAGAGTTTGCCCGCCCCCTGAAAAGGAAATCGTTCCTCCATTCTGTATTTAGGAGTGGATGCGAGTGGAAGGCGAGACTCATCAAACGTGCCATCAGTAAGCGTGCCACAAGCAAGCATGCGCACCCGCGGCCCAGTCCTGCGAACGCGGCCGAAATTCGGGCCACAGACTCGGGCAAATTGAAAAGCAATTTCCAGGGCCTTGACCTGTTCTGGAGGGCGCCATTTCCAATTACTGTTTTTTCCGTTTTCGCTCGTCCGCGGCGCCGTTTTTTCGCGTTACCGAGTCTCGTTTTATTTTCGTTCTCAATGTTCCAAGAGCGGAAATCGAAAACGGACAAAAAACGCCATGGCCGTTTTAAGAGACAAGTAATTTCAAGCCGTCTGAGCCGTCTTAGAAGCCATTTTGGGCCATCTTGGAACGGGCAAGGCATTGACATATACAGTTTGCGGTCCTTTCCGGGTGGCCGGCCGGACGGTTCGAAGCCCCAGGGGGGGGTATTTATAGAAAAGAACCACAACCAAAGACCGTAAGATCTAGCACGTTTGGCACCACTATGACAAGCACAGGGGGTGGCGGATCGAAGACGCCTACGGCGAATCACCGCCGCCCCCTGCCTTTTGGTAAGCGCCTATGTGGCCGAACGTTGAGGCCAGACTTGCAAAGCTGTCGGACCATGTGGTGCCCGAGTCGGTTTGGAAAGCCTTCGGGGAACAAGTTGGCATCTTGAAGGTCATCTTGGCCGCCTGGAGGCCATGTTGACCCTTTCCGGCCCTTCTTGGAGGGCGTCTTGGAGGGCTCCTGGGTCGTCTTGGAGGCCATCTTGAGCGTCTTGGCCTCTTGGGCCGTCCTGGGGGCCTCTTAAGGGCCGTCTTGGGCCTCTTGGGCGATCTTTGGGGGCACTTGGGCCGTCTCGGGCCGTCGGAAGCCGAACAAAAAGCACATGCCACAATCCTTGAACACATCATGGGACATCAATGATTTTGCCCCTTTCGGGCCTTCCTGGAGGCCCTCGTGGAGGCCTCTTGGGCCGTCCTGGGCCGGCTTAGTGCTATCTTCGGCCGTCTTGTTGGGCCCCTTGCCCGTCCGACACCGTTGGACGCCGTTGGGGGGGCCTCTCTGAGCCGACTTGGGGCCCTCTTGGAATGCGACAGGGCCGTCTTGGAGGCCATTTTGGGCGTCTTATAGCCTCTTAGGCCGTCTTGCGGGCCTCTTGGGGCCGTCTTGGGGGCCTCTTGGGCCGTTCTGGGGCCATCTTGGAGGCATCTTGGGCGATCTTTGGGCGATCTTTGGGCGATCTTTAGGGGCTTGTGGGCCGTATCGGGCCGTCGGAAGGCCGAAAAGAAGCAAATGTCAAAATCCTGCAAAAACATAAGAAGTGTTTTTCGCCTTTTCTGGCCTTCCTGGAGGCCTTCTTGGAGGCCTCTTAGGCCGTCTTGGGCCAGCTTCGAGCCAACTTCGGCCATCTGGGTGGGCTCCTGGCCCGTCTGACGTCGTCGGAAGCCGTTTGGGGGGCCTTTTTGGGCTGACTTGGGGCCCTCTTGGGGTGCTCCAGGGCCGTCTTAGAGGCCATCTTGGGCGTCTTGGAGGCCTCTTGGGTTGTCTTTGTGCCCTCCTGGGGCCGTCTTGGGGGCCTCTTGGGCCGTTCTGGGGCCATCTTGGAGGCATCTTGGGCGCTGTGGGGGCGATCTTTGGGGCCTCTTGCGCCGTCTTGGGTCGTCGGAAAGCCGAGAAGAAGCGAATGCCAAACTCCTTCAACAACCTATGGAAAATTCATGATTTTGGTCTCTTCGGGCTCTCCTCGGGGGACCTCTTGGAGGCCTCTTGGGCCGTCTTGGAGGCCTCTGGGGGGCCTCTTGGGCCGTC